AAAAAGAAGCTTTGAAAAATCATTAGTAGGTTTATCAATTGTATAAAAATAAATTGCTCTAAAAATACTTAATCACTGATAAACATAGAACAGTTTACTGCAGATAGATCTTTATCTACGATTCAACGAAGTCATTTCAGAAGCAAAGAGTAGTAAGATTTCACAGCGCCGCCAAACATTGTATTAGTATTCTTTCGTTTTCTTATATATTACGACAAGAATAGCACTGTTAGAATAGAGTATTTTTTCCACAGAATCCTCAACATCGACAAAAATGATTATTATCAAGTGCCGAAAAATTAATCGAAATGCTAGTTGACATGAAATTCGTAATGCATTCAAAGAACATTTCTTTGAATTTCATCAAGATAAGAACGTAGGTCGTTGGCTTGATACAACCGAATCTCTCAAAATAATAATACGCGCATATGACACATTGTCGGATGCGGCAAAGAAACGAGAATATAATAATCATCGTGAAGCAGATTCCGACAGTGACAATATTGATGATGATGAAAAAGGTATAGACTTGAATCGATATCTTGGCCATGGTCACGGCTTGTGTCCATCGTGACCGTGAGTCACGACGATTTTCTATGAATTTTTACGACTGCTCTAATAAAAGAGATATTGCTTAATGGCGTTCATATATATCGGTTGCAATCAATGTGACGTAATGGTTAGTATTTAATGATAAAATTTATCACGTACCATAGATAATTAACGATTCAATTTCAGTTCAAACAACCCTGTCAAGGAGAATTTCACATAAGTACTCACTAACGAGAATATTTCAGTAACAATCTGAAACCGAGAAAAGAAGGATTATAACGATTGAACCAATATAAAGTAGATTGCTTGTATTTCGAATATTTCTTCCATTCCTAGAACTCGATCGAACTGATTTTTGCTAAAATATTCTCCGTTCAGTTCACACGAAAGAATGCATGACCGTTTTATGGTAGAATTTGAATGTGCAAATGTCATGAGACAGTTTGACAAGTACCAAAATTGAGAAAAAGCTAAACGTAGATAAGTTGAAAAGCGGGTTGTTTTAGTATTTTTTGCTGCACTGTTGTGAAATCAATATAGAAGTAGCCATCGTATAGGTCTTGAAAAATTCTTTTCTGCCTATAATCTTGACAAAATTCAGCTAAGATTGCGAGTGTAAGGACTTTGTTATGTTTTGCCTGTTTTTCAAAAAATGACGATTCTTTTAAATAATAATTCAAATCTTCCGATGCAAAAATGAATCCTAGTCAAACTTGATCCATTCAAAATGGTTTTCACATTTATTTAGGAAAGCAATATTTAATTGCTACGGCCGAATTTCTATGGTTTAAAAAAACAATTATTTGTTCAGCGACGCAAATAAAAAAAGATAATTGTTTTTATTTTTCACTTGTTCCCCATCGAGCTAATGTTTGCGTCGAATATTTGGATTCGAATGACATGCGCCTTATACTAGGAGATAGAGCGTCTTCAAGACTGCACAAAATCTACTGAAATTTGGGTGTGGGTGTGTGGGGATGGGGTGTGAGTGGGTGTGGGCATTTGAAAAGACAAAAACACACCCACACCCTATCTTTGACTTTCTCTTAATCTATTCACTTGCTCTGACATTTACTTCCATATGTCTTGAGCTGTCTCTCTCTGCTTACATCATGATCCTCAGTGGGGTGTGGCTGTGGAGTATGGGTGTAAGTGGGTGAGTGTGACATAATGCAATAATTACACCCACAGATTTCTATCCTGATTTTATCAAAATTTATTTATAAAATATTTGAGAACCCTCTAATTTCAAATGGGTCATAGTTGTCTTGCAAATGGAAAAGTCAACTCCGTCATATTTTTCTGAAGGATGATTTTGAAGAATAGTCTAGTTACGTAAATTATTTTAATTCTCGTAGAATAAAAAAAAGACTCTTTCAATATCATACAACTTAAAAATGGTAGAAATGTTCTCAAAAACATAATTTATCACAAACTTTCGATTAAATAGTTTTTGTATTATTTTTTTATGTTAATTGATAGATTCTGAGATACAATTTTCCTATCATGATTCTCTTTGAGGTATTGAAGTTTTCAGCATCTCAACGAATGATACTTAATTGCAAAGAATTTTTTTATCCTAGCAGTTGGCTTTAGTTAATTTCAATAGTTGTTGTATGATATTGTTTTTTTTTTGAACACTTTTTGCTCTGATGGCATATAGAATCAAAGTGTTTTTAGTAATATTAATAAAAAACTTATTCGTTCTTCTAATATTTGATATTTTTCTTTTCAAGAAATGGTTCTTTATTATTTTCTTGTCGTATCTTTAATGGAAAAAAACAATGTTAAATAATTGTATCGATTTGTCGATGAAATAAATAAACCTATGATTCAATAAATTAATGTGCGGCAGAAAATAAATAATAGATCAAATCGATTTCAAACTTATTGCCTAGTGTCTGGAGTATATATTTATCAATATCTCGATATCGATTTATGATATAATATCTTTTGGCTTTTAATTCTAGTTGAGATCATATCGTTCTTTGCCTAGAATATCATCTTTTTGAATAAAATTGTCAAAATCTTAGGTAGACTTATAAACATACTAATCATTTACTTTATTTAATGGATGACCATCGAGAAAGTTGTGTAAGATGAAGAGTAAAATACTGTCCCTTTTTATAATTAAACATTTGAAATATAATATGGAATCAATGTACATATTGCTTCAATTAAAAACTTGAAAAAAAAGATGAATTCTTGTTTATCATTACTCATCCCAGAAATAAATTTCTTTCAAAAGACTAACAATGAAAAGAATTCAACTAAAGCACTGTACCATCAAAATAGATATATATCTTTTTTGCAAGCGTTTCTTTTCAAAATACTGTAAATATAATCATAATGTTCACATGTGACTCCATTTTTGTCATACACACTTCAATATTACTACAGCAAATGAATTAGGTTGCTAGAAACGAAAGAATGTCACAAATAAAACTTTACCTCTTTTTATAGACATCAAATAGTAAAGAAAATTTTAATTTTATCTAATTGTTTTTCGCAGCATTCTCAACATTAATCCATTTTGTCTTTTCATATATGAGATCAGGATATTTGTAGTTATCAAATGATTTGAGCAGGAACAGAAGATCATGAGTTGATCACCTTACATAAGTCATTCTAGAACTCAATGTCTTTCAAAACTTTTTGAGTTTTACATATATGATCGTATCAAATCTTGTATTATCAGATCAAGTGTATCACCGAACACTTAAAACAATTCATAATTGAGATTCTACTGCCTCTAAAAAACAAACAACATGCAGTCGATTTGAAGAACTATTCACAATCAAAAAGTGATGACCGACAAGATATTTTTCCTTCTCTTATTTACACATTATTTTTTTAATTTAAGTTACTTTTTAAAAAAGAAAGTTAAGATGAAAATACATGCAGTTTTTGTATTTTATTTTTTTTAATATTATAAACTACAGTAAAGGAATTTTCGATCAAGTGTCCGATCATTTTTAACTTGTATAAGTCATCATTATCTTGAAACCGAGAACAATATCATATATAATAATGATATATAGTTTAACAAATCATACACTAATCATCATTAACATACTATAATTAGAAATTCTATAAATTAAAATCAATTATTACATAACATGAAACACTTATCATATAATTTAATTATAATAAATAATGATAAAACATAGTAATGATAATCCTAAAAACAGATAAAGGTACCAAATACCAATTAACCATAATAATATCTCAAGTGAAATTTCTCCTGCTATAAGATCATAATTATATAATATAATATACTTGAATAAATAAGTCAGAAACAATTTAAAGAGACGAAGATGAAAACATGAAGTTTTCTATTTTTTTTCTTTAATGTTATATTTTATTTTAAACTATAGTAAAGAAATTTTCGCTCAAGATAAAAATACAATATTAAAGAAAATGAAAAACTGCATATATTTTCATTTTCATCTCTTTAAATTGTTTCTGATTTATTTTGTTAAAGTATATTATATTATTTAATAAATTTACTTTATATGATTTTATTAATTATTAAAATTATTAATTAATTTAAATAAAAAGATTTACCTATTTATATTTGAAATATTTTTTCGATGTGTGATTCATAATATATAAAGATCAAAACTCAAAATAAAATCTATACTCACGACAGAAAAGAAAAAACAGAAAAGACATCAAAGTAATACGTATATATTATGTTTATTAATAAATAGGGAATTACCACGTCCAACTCAATCAGATCTTAAAGTAACCTTATCCGAACAAATTAATGATACTGAACAATATCCAATTGTTTGATTTTTAATTTAATTGATCATGTATTTCATTAAAATATTTTAATTTTTCTCTTATTTGATATATCAATGATAAAGATAAAACACAAACTGATGTACAAAGAGCCGATTTATTTACTGTATTAATCAATCAATTATATCATCACAAGGCAACTACATTTTGTGTATTAAATGTTGTATTTATTAATAACTAGCATGATATTCAAAATAAAGATGGTTCAAATATAAATCGACGTATTTTACATCAAACATTATTTAATATATTCAATTCAATAACTGATTCTATGAAGATCTTCATCGATTGATGTATCATCATTGATGTGTCGGGACACACATCTACAACGGAAAGGGGAAGACTGTTAACGGTAATGTAGTACTATCTTCACTATTACAATCATCAATTACTCTATTTTCTATTTCTTGTTGTTATTCTTTATTCTCTCCGTTTGTTGTTATCCTTCTGTTTTTATTTTCTTCAACGTATATATATATCCATTTAATAAAGTAAAGGTAACGCTCGTCAGATACGAGCTAAAAGTGGGTAATTATTCACGTGTATAAAATACAAGTGCTGTAATGTAGGTGAGAAGGAAAAAACTACGAAAAAAAAAATCCAAAAAAACATTCGTGTCAATGTCGAATAAACATTGCATAATGAGTGATAATGAAGATGCAAATGTATCTAGAAAACATGAAGAAATTGTTGATGTAGATCAAAATGGAATTAATCATAAAACGTATAATAAATGATAAACTTGATTATAATATTATTTTACTTTTATATAGTATGATTATTTCGAATGATGGAAAAAATTCAGATGAACAACATAATCTTGAAAAATCTGATGGTAAAAAAAAACATGCTGCAACTGTAAGCCTTTTAAGTTTGGTAAGAGAGAAATTATTTTTTATTTAATAAAAATTTTAATCTATATATCAGTTTCGATATGCCACATTACTCGATAAAATCTTTATGTTAATTGGTACCACAGGAGGTCTTGCTTATGGTGTTCTTTTACCATTATTAGTTCTTGTATTTGGAGGGCTTCTAAATACATTTACTAATCGATCTACTGATTTATGTACACTTAATTATACAGCTCTTTCTATTGAATTTTGTTCACCAGGTTATGAGTTAACAGCATCGAATTATTTTGCATCATTATTGTAAGTATATGTTTAGAAAAAAAGAAATTTTTAAAAAATAATAATTATATTTAGTATTTGTCATTTTAATGCAACTTATGGAGTTACATTTGATTTTCAACATGAAATAACAAAACAAACACTTTCTTTAGTTACTCTTGGTTGTGTTAGTATTTTAGCCGGCTATATTCAAGTAGCATTTTGGACTATGCCAGCTGAACAACAAGCAAGAGCTATAAAACAAAAATTATTTCAATCAATTCTTCGAAAAGAAATTGCTTTTTTTGATACACATAAGACTGCTGAACTTAATACTAAATTAACAGATGATATTAATAAAATTCGTGATGGAATTGGTGATAAACTTGGTTCAGCTTTGCAATTTGTAGCTGGTTTTTTTAGTGGACTTATTCTTGGCAAGTTTATATATATATCTATTTATACATGAATGCAATGGTAGTATTTTTAATATAGGTTTTGCTAAAGGATGGAAATTGACATTAGTTGTATTATCAATGTCTCCATTAATATTTATCTCAGCGGTTCTATTTGCCAAAGTACATTTTTTTGGTTAAAAAAAAACAATTAAAACAGATTCTTTTTTTTTGTATAGCTTGCTTCGAATTTGACAGAAAAGGAATTAAAAGCTTATGGTAAAGCAGGAGCAATAGCTGAAGAAGTATTTAGTTCAATACGTATTGTTCTATCTTATAATGGACAAGGACGAGAACAAAAAAGGTTTGATTTAAATAACAAAATACTTTTATTATTTTTTTTTTGTCTAACAATATAGATATGATCAACATCTTGATGAAGCTAAAAGAAATGGTATAAAAAGAGGTGGAATCAATGGTACTCTAATGGGTCTTGTGTGGTGTGTTGTCTATTGTTCATATGCATTAGGTATTTAATTTAACGGGTGGACCATAAATAATGATACCATCCGTATTTTGTTAATATCTCATTGAGTTTTCGTTGTTTTGTTTTGAACTCTTTCCCAAAAGATGCACCGTGCAACAGTCTATAAAACGATATATTTCATTCCACAAATATAATCACTTTCATTTTCTTAACTACAGTATAACTGTTCGGACCCATCGTGCAAGAATTTCAAATTTTCCATTTTTCCTCAATATTTTTATATAGGATGTTCATCCTGACATCAATATTGATTGCGTCGGAACAGATAATACGCTCATAATTTAAACTAATTTGCTTCAAATAATGTTACTGATACCGTGATTGGTACAAGCTATGAACGTGAAACGTGTCCCAACACAATACTCATTGAGGTCAGAATGAAAATGCTATATAGAAAAATTGAGAAAAAACTGGAAATTTTGAAATTCTTGTATGATGGGTTCGGACAGTTATACTGTAGTCAAGAAAATGAAATTGATTATATCGCGGGGTGAAATATACCGTTTTGTAGAGAGTTGCACGGCGCATCTTTTTGGAAAAGTTCAAGACAAAGCGATGAAAACTCAATGAGATATTAACAAAATACGGATGGTATCATTATTTATGGCCTATCCGTTACACTTTGGATTAGTTGATTCTGTATAGAATGTCTTTTTCTTTTACAATAGGATTTTGGTATGGAGCGAAATTAATTCGAGAGGAAGAATATACCATTGGTAATCTTATTAGTGTAAGTAAAAAAAAGATTTATATAATGAAATTCATATTTTACAATTTTTTTTATAATTGTCTTTTCAACATTAATTATTATTTTGTTAGGTATTCTTTTGTATTATCATTGCTATATTCAATTTGGGTCAAGCTAGTTCACATCTTCAAGCTTTAACTCAAGCACGTACTGCTGCTTACATTGTATGGAAAATTATTGATACAGTAAGTAGATAATTAAATTTTATACACACACAAAATAAAAATATTTTATAGCCATCTAAAGTCATTAGTGATTCAGAGAAAGGTCTGAAAAAAGATGATCTTATTGGTGATATTCATTTTTCGAATGTTCATTTTACTTATCCATCACGAGCTGAAGTTAAAATTCTAAATGATGTATCATTTGGTGCTAAACGTGGTGAAACAATTGCACTTGTTGGATCATCTGGTTCAGGAAAATCAACATGTGTACAACTATTACAAAGATTTTATGATTCTGATTCAGGTTCAATCTATATTGATGGACATTCTGTTACTGAATATAATTTAAAATGGTTAAGAGAACATATTGGTGTTGTTAGTCAAGAACCAATTTTATTTCAAGCAACTATTAGAGAAAATATTTTATTTGGAAGAGATACAGCAACTGATGAAGAACTACGTGAAGCAGCAAAAATGGCTAATGCACATAATTTTATAATGACTTTACCTGATGTAAGTTATACATCAATGCTTATAATTGTTTTCTGAGTTTTTTTAAAAATCCTATTGTGTTTATGTAGAAATATGAAACTCGCGTAGGTGAACATGAAGCTACATTATCAGGTGGACAAAAACAAAGAATTGGTAAATATAAATATATAATGGATGGCACAGACTAAATAAGACACTTTTGTACCTGATTTTTCTCTCTGTTAATAATTGTGTAAAATATTGAAAATAGCTTCATTTGATGAGGAATTTAGTTCTCTACAAAACGTAATATTGAAATTAGAAACAGTATGTTCTTTTCAGTGCGAAATATCAAAAATATCAAAAGCGTTAAGGTCTTAAACTGCACCATGTCGTTTTTGTTTCCTTTTAAAACCGGTTTAGCTGTCGAAAGAAATGAATAATCCAAATAATTTTATGTTAGAAAATTCAAAATGTTGTGCTTTCTAGATCTAAACCTCTTCTTTAGCAATTTTGGGATGCTCTATCCCGGTTTCTGGCGCTAATTTTTAGTGAGCACAGATTTTCGAATAGTTTATAGGAAATTCAAGTTTTCAGTTTTATCTTTCATTTCAAAAGTTTTATTTTCATAGTAAATGATGCACAATTAAATTCTACACATGACCATATACCTGATTAAGGAAACTATGACCCCTCTTGAGGCCCTATGTTCGAAAAACTGGAACCTTTAGAAATAGTGCAAAACCGAAGATTTATGCGTTTTTCTTGCATGGGATTTATCTTCGAAAATTTTTTCTACACATCAGAAATATAGTTGACAAGATAGAGAATTTTATGGAGTTTTCTTAATAATCTTCAAGAATTCTCCAAGTTTCACCCAAAATAAACAGCGAATTGCATTTTTCGTACGCGGAGCAGTTCAGAACTTTAAAGCTTTCTGTATTTTTGATATTGCGCATCGGAAAAAACATGCTCTTTCTAATTTCAATACTACGTTTTGTAGAGAATTAAATTCTCTATCAAATGAAGCTATTTTCAATATTGTACACAATTATTAACATCGAGAAAAGTCAGGTAAATAAAGTGCCTCATTTAATCTGCGCCACCTGTTATAAGAATATTGATCATCATTTTTTATAGCCATTGCTCGAGCATTAATTCGAGATCCTAAAATTTTAATTCTTGATGAAGGTAAACATTTATTTATTTTTCTTCTCATTATTTTATCTTTTATTCTATATTCTAGCTACAAGTGCACTTGATAATGAAAGTGAAAAAATAGTTCAAGAAGCTCTAGATCGTGCTACTGAAGGTATGTTATAAATTAAATTCGAAATATTTAAATATTAATATTGCTTATTATGTTTAGGTCGAACAACATTAGTAATTGCACATCGTTTGTCAACAATTCGTAATGCTCATAAAATTGTTGTAATGCATAAAGGTAAAGTAGTTGAAGAAGGTGATCATGAAAAATTAATGCAGATTCATGGAACGTATTTTGATCTTGTTGAACAACAAAATTTACATATAGCTGAAGAAGAAGAACGATTAGCTTTTGAACGACAAGAAAGTGATGGATTACTGAGAGTTCAACAGAGTGAAGAAAAACATTTAGGTATTGGAAGAGAATGTTCTTCCACTATTATTAATATGACACCATCAGTTATGGCTGCATTGCATGCAAACAAGAAGGATTCAACAACAGGTGAAGATATCGTTGAAGAGGAAGATAATGATGGAAAAAAGAAAAAGGTAAAAATTCGAATTAGACTAATTCTAATCAATATAATTGTATTAGGAAAAAAAAAATAATGCTCCTCTTGAAATGTTAATAATGAATAAACCAGAATGGCCATTCATAATAGTGGGATGTTTTGCATGTATATGTAATGGTGGTATTCAACCAGTACTTGGTATTATTCTAAGTAAATTAATAGCGGTAAATTTTTTAATTTTATTCTTATATTAATATTAATATGTTTATTTAATTAAAAAGGTTTTTCAAGAATGTAATAAAGAAGTTCAAGAACATCGGGTTTTACTTTATGTACTTCTGTTTGTTGGTTGTGGTATTCTAATATTACTTACAACGTCTCTTCAAGTATATTCTTCTATTTAAATGATTCGAAATATATTCATCATTTTATTTAGGGTTATCTATTTGCTTGTTCAGGTGAAGCATTAACGAAGAGATTACGTTCGAAATTATTTCGTACAATTCTACGTCAAGAAATAGCTTATTTTGATAATCCGAAAAATAATACAGGAGCTTTATGTACACGTTTAGCAACTGAAGCATCTGCTGTACAAGGAGTTACTGGTATTCGTATTGGAACAATGCTACAAAATTTAACTTCACTTGGTACTGGTATTATAATTAGTTTTGTATTTTCTTGGCAATTGGCATTACTTATTCTTGGTTTTGTTCCATTTATCGTTGCCGGAGGATTTTTAGAAAGTCGTTTAATGACTGGCTTTGCTAGTAAAGATAATCAAACATATGAAGATGCTGGAAAAGTTTGATAATATTTTTAATAATAAATATATATATTTGATTATTTATTCGATAGATAACAGTAGAATCTATACAAAATATTCGAACAGTTGCACAATTAACAAAAGAAGATTATTTTTATAAAGAATATTCTAAACTTCTTAAAATTCCTGTTCGGTATTGTATTTTTGTTTTTTGTAAATTTAATTGAAAGTCTATTCTATTACAGAGCATCTATAAAAAGAGCTCATCTTTTTGGTGTATTCTTTGCATTAACAAGTTCAGCTATGTATTTTTGTTTAGCAGCAATGTTTAGATTGGGTGCTTATTTAGTAGATCATGATACAATTTCATTTGAAGATATTTTATTGTAAGAATGAAAAAATCTTTAAAAATATTAAAATTTGAGTTAATTTTAGGTGTTTTAGTTGTATTATATTTGGTGCACAAAATGTTGGACAAACAGCATCAATGTAAATATTTAAAATGTTTAAACGAAGATTATATAGCTGTTTTTTTTTGTATTTTATTAGGTCTCCGGATTATACTAAAGCAGTTGAAGCTGCTGAAAGGGTTTTAGAATTGTTGCATCGAAAACCGGCTATCGATAATAGTTCAAGTGATGGTGATGAAATTGTTAGTCAATATTAGAATTTTTTTTTTAAAGATATTGATCTTTATCTTGTTTTTTTTTTCTTTAGCCTAACTTTAGTGGACAATTACAATTTGAAGGTGTCCATTTTATATATCCAAATAGATCTGAATCAATTATTCTTCAAAATTTCGAACTCAAAATCAAAGCTGGTATTTTAATGTTTATTTTCATTTATTCATATCAATTTTTCTTTTTATAGGTCAACAAGTTGCACTCGTTGGTATGGAAATTATCTTTTTTCTTTGTAATATCTTCAATTTCAATATGTTTATTGATCTACTTAGGTACATCTGGTTGTGGAAAATCAACAACTATTCAATTAATTGAACGTTTCTATGATGCAAATATCGGTCGATTGGTAAGATAATCTAACATTCTTTCTCTTATCAAATTTCTTTTATAGCTAGCTGATTCACACGATGTTCGAAGTCTTAATCTCCAATGGTATCGATCACAAAGTATGTAAGATAATTTATCATTCCTTTTTTATCTCTATTTAAAATGAATTTTTTTTCAGTTGGTATTGTCTCACAAGAACCAACTTTATTTGATATGTCAATTAAAGAAAATATTGCTTATGGTGATGATAGTCGAATTGATATTCCAATGGAAGAAATAATTGAAGCAGCTAAAACTGCTAATATTCATGATTTTATTCAAAGTCTTCCACAAGTAAATCATCAAATAAAAATGTTTTTGTTGTTACCAAGAAAAAAAGAAATATTTTGTTCAGAAATATGAAACAAATTGTGGTGCAAAAGGTACTCAATTATCAGGTGGACAAAAACAACGAATTGGTAAGAACGGATTTTTCAGATGGGCCATTCCACGTAAGCCACGACCCACTCACACAGAAGCTGCTCAAACCATGGTCGTCGATTTGACTGATTTTTTATATGTTATAGAGGCAAGTGTTTGATGAATTTCTGCGCAAACCGTTTGCAAAAATTTTGTTCAGTTCTTGAGATATTAAAAATTTACTGAGAACATCCTCATCAAAAAATGACTATTTTTGCGATTTTTTTCTGACATCGCTATCTCTTCAAGGATGCATCTGTCTCACTTGGAATTTCTACTATAAGTCTATCGTAAATTTATGTATTTTTCATAAGAGGAACGGACTCAAATGGATGAATCATTAATAAGTTGACTTGGACTACCAAGTACATAAAAAAAATTGTATTTTTCGTATTTTGTGCATATACATATCGATTGAACAGATGGTGTCAGAGAGCTAAAATTTCGATTAAAAAAAGATCTGGTTAACTACTAATTAGTTTTGATAAAAATTCGGCTCTATAGCTGGCTCCTATAGCTCAGGAGACCTGTTCAAAAATGTGTTTTTCCCTAAAATCATGATTTTGCGAGATGTCGATCTAGACCAAAATGAGGCCTATAGAACTTCGGTCTTTATGGTTTTGAAGTATACCGATANTGATTTGCATGATTATATAACATAAGATAATTTTTTGTTCAGACACTAGACATTGTTTGGGGTGGGTATCTTTTTATTGTTTTGTCTTTCGAATAAAAAGTCAGAATATCGAAGGTATCCAAAAAATGCACGCCTTTTTGGATAGAACTTTTTTTTGGTAGGAACTACGAAACATCAGCAGAACAATATTTTTTTGAAACAAAAAAAAAGGCACTAATTGCAGACAGTGAAAAGTATATGTAAACAAAATTTCCAGTTTGATCGAATGTATCAGGCAGATGAAATGGAGGGTGTTTCTGCGCTTTTTGTTAATGAAAAATTTAGTTTGAGGAAAACGAGACTCGAGTTCTTTAATTTTTATAGACAATTTCTGGATTCCAAAAAGTATTCGGTAAACAAATACTACTTTCAGCTATAAAATGGTCATGAAAGAACAAAACACAAAAAAAAAAACATAAATTTTCAGTCAAGAAATGTGGGAGAAGAAGGGGCACCCTTAAGTAAAATTGAACGAAAAATATTTCAAGATTATCATAATTTCGCTTGATTAATCATGAAGAACATAATTAAGAGTTTCAACTATTTCTATATGAGGTGATCAAATAAATTATATTAAATAAACAAATAAAATAGATTCAAACAAACTAGTGCCTATTTTATATTAGTTTTTAACACCTGATCTATGATGAGTCAGTTTAGTCTGTAAGTATTCATGATAATGAAATGAATTCTGTGTAATAAAATCTTAAAAGATCATTTAATCAAATCAAAAAATGAAATAATAACATTTTGTAACCTAAGGTTAAGACAGTCTCCTCTTCAGACTTAAATTTTTGTTAAAATAAATCATATAATTGCAAAATTTAAAACATTTTATGTTTCTCAAAGACATACAGAATTCTATATCAAATAGTTTTCAATTAATCTTATAAATTTTTGCTTCCCTGAAAACAGACGCTTATATATTAATGCTGCTTGACTAACCATCATAAAAATAACCAGAATAAGTGCCAGTGAATAAACGAATAGCTAGCTCGAACGCGCACACTATATATTGAATGATATTCGATAATAATCTAATCGCAAAATATCGAAATATTTGTTGAATACCTTTAAACATTGTTTGTGACTTCGAGAAAGACATGATTAATAAGTATTCAATTTCATATTTCCAGTATCATACAAAACACAGCTGCTGACAATTATCAATCACCAAATGTTCAGGAAAACGAATAATATATGAACAATAAAACAGAATAGAGGATATATAGGCGACTATTATACAATCAATATGTAAATACAAAGTAAAATATGACACCTAAGGAATTAAATAAAAATTGCCTATTGCTTTTACATAAAGGTATATGGTCTTAAAAGAAAAATAAGTTAAGTGAAAAAGAGATACTCATTTGTGTGCTTTTAGTAAAAACAAATACAAAAGAAATTATTTACAAAATAACTATCCATTGACTTAATAACTTATGAGGGTTACAAACTTACGCAAATCTTCTTTCGAAACTTTCAAATTGATCTTTCCTAGATTATATCATTCGATCTTGTAATATGTTGAAAATAATACATAAATACAATTACAAATAATGAAATTAAAATAATTAATCAAAATAAAATTACCACGACATAATATAACAATTACGTCGAAATTTTAATTCTTATTATATTTGTGTGATATAATATAGCATCTATTAAATATATAATTATGTATATTTAATATGCTATTTGTGATGTCATGTAGTACATAATGTTATTTATGGAGGGATATGACTGATTTTTCTTTGAAATAGTTCTGCTGAATTAATCTTTCACAGAATCTTAGTCATGGTACCTTTTAGTACCTTCGATTTTAAATAATAGATTATCTTAATCAAAGTTCAAGAGAAACAATATTCTTGTTTTAAAGGAAACGTATAAGTAAAAAAACAAAAAAAAAAAAGAAAAAGTTACTTTTTAATATAACAAAAATACAATTTATGATTTGAAAACGCGTACTACACGTACAATGTTCGATCGACAAATAGGACATTCAGCAAGCAATTTACCACATTTGACGCATGTCACCTAAACGAAAATAATTAAAAAAAAAGGATTTTTATACTTTTTCAATCTTTTAAAACGAAACATCCTAACTTAAATCCTAACATCAATACCCAATGTTTTATCTAGATTCTCTTTTTCACAATAGTGGTTAGAACTTCGAAGTAAAAGAGAAATATCGCATACTTGATTCGTACGATATATAAAACATTGTTAACATTGATTTAACATAACTATTGAAAAGAAAAATGCCTATTACGAAAATACGTAGCTCGTAATTGTTATGCTAATAAGAGAAAGAGAAAAACAAAACCCATCAAGTTTCAATGATTGAAAGTAGACAGATTAGTTTGAAATTGTCATGCACAGCTTTCCGAATAAAATCCTATAGGAAATAATCAATTATTTATTATTTTTCTTTATGTAAAACATCTTCCCACTATCTTATTTTCTTATGGTACTATTAAATTCCTTGTTGTATATCAACTTACCATATGACCGCAATCTAAGAAGACACAATCAACAATGGCATCCATACATATTTTACACAATTCACTGTCACCTGCTGTTACATCACCAAGTTCTTTTGCTAAAAAAACAAAAGAAATTTTCTGATTTAATTGAAAGCGTAACTTGATTACTATACCTTTATTTTTTTCATTTTGTCGATCACGATAAAGTCGACGAACTTTATCAATTAATTCATTTTTTTCAACACATCCTTTAAAATCAACAAAATTTGCTGCTAAAAGTTCTTTTAATTCCCGAGTATTTAAATCTTCAATATTTTCTTCATTTTTTATTTCGCTTAGCGATTTTCGACGTATTCGTTGACTTGTAGTCTAAAAATAAATAAATATGTTTTTCGAAAAATCAATACATTATTAACCAACCGAATTCGAACTAGCAGTTGCTGATCCAGATGGTGAAGGCCTTTGTTGTTGTTGTGTATTAGTTGGCGCCGGTCTTTGTGTTGTTGTATGAGTAGAACCTCCAGGTGATGGAAAAGAATAATTAGATGATGCTCCACGATTAGGATTATTAGAAGTTGTTGTTGTCTGTTGTGGTTCATCACCAAGGGTATGATTCATAACATCGGATACTGTATTTGTAACATAATCTTGTAGATTTGAAGCAAAATTATTCATTTGATTAGCAAATGATGATACTGTTTGTTGAAAGTTTGAAAATGGTCCAGATTTTGATGAATTCATTGATGATGTTGATGGAGAAGAATTATTTGATGTTGACGATTGATTTAATGTCGAACGATTTTGTTCTTGATTTGTATTATTTGTTACTGAAGAACTTTCCGTTTCTTGACCAAGTAAACGTAAAAATGGTAAATGTCGACTACGTATTATTAAATCAACAAGTTCTTGTTTTTCTGTGCAAGTATTATGAGAAATATCTTTTGCTTGTAAATAATTCCTTAAATGTTTTACTTTTAATTCAAGTAATTGATCGTTTGTTGTAGAATTATTAGATATTAATTGACAAATAAGACAAATACGATATGAATTATTAAGATAACGTTCACGTGGGGCGCAATTTCCACAATAATATTGACGACAAATTGCACAAATTTTCTGAAGCAAAAAAAAACAAAACGAAGTCAATCATATTTGATTGATTAAGTTTTACTTTTTTTTTAATTATTGTATATGCACTATGACAATGTTCACATTGATCATTCGATGCTGTTGAATATGTTGACGATGGCATTATGTTTCATACTCGAATAATATTTAAACAGCTATCACATAGAAAATGGTAAGTCTAGAATCGATATATATCACATATATATATATATCTATATATACATATAAGAATCATGTGAATGTATTTATCACTTTTTTCTTTGATTTATCAAAAAAATAAAGTATGCATAATATATGAGTAATAATCTCTCAAGAAAAAAAAAATTATAAATAGATTTTATTTAGGGTCTACTGTTGACGTGTTGCTATTTCGAGTTTATCTTAGCCAATCAATAAAAAGTTTATGAAAAATAAAAAAAACTAGAGTATCATTTTTAACAAAAAAAAAAGGAATTTCGGCTTACTGATTAAGACTTAATTCATACTAAGATCTTATTCACGGAATAGCAATATATATTTAACTATAAGCGACATCTGTAATTTGTAATTATTCAAAATGATCACTACTATTCTTGTACACGAAAAATAAGGAACTTATTTAATACTTCTAAATATTCGCTTTGAGTCTTTAATTCTTAATTCGAAGCAAAAATTCAGCTTGACTATGTACTCATAAGGTCTCTAGCTTATCGATAAGCTTTATGGATATGCAATTCAAATATTTTGGTCGTTTCAAAATAAGATTTCACTAAAAGTTTCTAATTACTGCATAAAAAAAGAATGATAATGCATCATATCAAAATTTTCTTATGATATATCGTTCATTTCGAAGAAAGACCTACAGATATGATTAAACAATCAATTAACATACAATTGGGGAAAAGTTCAATTTATCGGTAAACAGAGTGCTGGCAAGCCAGTTGTATTTCAGTGTACGAAAAATAAATGATTCATACAAAGATTTCGTATAAATATTATGTACTGAATTAGAAAGAAGATTAAAAATAATAAAGAAATAAATCTATTGAAAAGTTCACACGAAAATTCTATTCAAATATGTTAGGATATTCAACGTTACTACCTATTGATTACTTTTATGATCGACTAATTCATGTGAAATAGATGCATGCCAATAGAAACCCTACTAATTACTACTTTGAACAATAGACACA